TCTCAGGAGAGGGCTTAGCAGCTGATTCCAGGGACAGCAGATTTGACTCTTATCACTTCACTGAGTCTCTGCTGAAAGCTGCCCTACCAAACGGACTAACTAAAGCAAGTCTTGTTCATTCGATTACTTTTTATATTAACATGAAAAGAGTCACAGATCCTGACAGTCATGTTACTTTGCTGGTATAAAAATATTAGGGAAATAATTATCATAATGCTTCCCTAGATTATATAATTCAATTATTCTGCTTATGTAGTTGTTGAATGTGAAAACTGTAATCTCATTCCTATCCCACAGAGGCCAAAAGAAGATGGAGGAGGGAGTACAGGCATATGCAAAAGAGATGAATTATACCAGGTCACTCAGATAAACAGAAATAATTGGAGAGAACAGATGAAAACCTTCTGTCACACGTGTATGGTATGGGTGTCACACGCTTCATTCCAAAACCACAATTAACTTTCATTCATACACTGCCAGGAGCAAAATTCTCCTCAATGTTACGTATCAATTGTTACAGTGGGACAAATATCAATGCGCTCTTCCCTCTAGTTTTGAAATAGCTTTGATATTAATACTTAAGAAAGGAGGTATCACTGATTTCTCCCACCTCCCTGCACCCTGTAGTCACTAACCAAGGGCTGAGATACTCGCTGGTATTCTCTGCAGTCTCTTTCACTACAGAAAAGGAAGTGACTAACAAAATACAGTTTGTCAGGAGCCCCTATGCTTGGAGGAAAATCAAGAAATGTAATCAAGCAAGTATGAATTTCAACACAGTCCAACTCTTGGGAGGAAGGAATCTGTATGGTTTTCAGGCCAACCAAACCAAGCCTGGGCAGGCTGAGTCAGTCAGCAAGCGTGTAACATGAGTTACTCACACTAGCCAAAGGCTCAGACATTGCTAATTCACTTAAAGCAGCAGCAAGACTGTTCTACTGGGTAATTAGCACTGAAATTGCCCGTGGCACCACAGCCTATGGCATCCTATAGCTAGCAGATTTTAAAATTTGGGGTGTGTGGGTTTCTTTTTAGTTTCCACATAGGGATAGCTTATGATTTTGCAAACAGAGGATTATTTTAATCAAGTCCGCTACCAGCTTGTGTACAAATTAGAACTGACCGACACAATGCTTGGGGTTCGTGCGCACACCATGGAACCTCAACACGTTACATGGCCAAACATGCTATACACAAGTAATCTCTTCATTAGATAAATTTCTAGGGGAACATCAAGCTCTCATTTCTCTTTCCCCCTCCTAGCATTTCCTGGAAAAGGATGGTTCTCTTCTTAAGAACACTACTTTACCACTCTGCACTTCTATAAATAATTCCATGAACATGATTAGATAAGTCCCCCTTTTCCAGGACGACGCTCCTGCACAGACTACGGAGTTTCAGTCTGCAGTCCCCTGCTTTGCTGGCTGAATCTCTGACCAGCACACAAAGCCATGTTTCTCTGGTCAAGAAACAAATGGGATTCCCTGCAGAGCCTTTATAGCTGTCGAACCATTTGGAAGACTTTAATGCCAAGCAAACCAACGCTATCCCACCCCCTCAGGGAACACATCAGCCTAGGAGATGAATAAGTAGCAAATGTTGCAGAAATGGGGAGCATAAGTGAGCAGAATGAACCCCTGTGTTCTCAGTACTACAGGGTGAGAAAGAAGTAGTAGTACGTGAGAATGTGCTGCTATCACTTATGGGATGTGAAAGCAGTATCATCACTTTCGGACAATGATTTGAGAAATGTAGAAATAAAATTCATTTTTCTTTTGGATAAAAAGAATGTAAACAAGGTATGTTTTAATGTACTAGGTCAGCTTGATTTTTCTAATAGATTACCATTTGTCAAGACGTTTTCTTAAATCCTGATTTCTTGAAGTATTTATTGAGGTACTGCATAAGCTAGAAGTAAATAAATTTGCTCAAAGTTTTCAAAAAGTGCAAAAATAAACTTCCTGACCAATTCTCGCCATGTGTCAGAAAACTCATATTTTGAGTAAGTCTTAAAGAATGACAGCTAAATATTTACAATCATTAAAGCAGTATTTGCCAGTACAGTCAAGAACCCCAGGTTTAGATGTTTCATAACTAAAAATAAACACCTAAATGAAAATTCAGTAATCATTACAACAGTTTTTTTCTATGGGTTTATGTATCCTTACAATTTGCATTAGTGCACCACGGGAATCATGACCATCCTGTTATCTTTAGGCAGCTAATCACAACTGACCAGGAGTAAACACTCCAAATTTAATATTGAGGACATCAATAAAGCAGTCTAAAAGAGATTCTGTAACTGCTGAGTGTAAGAGAGGGTCATAAACAATTTTTAGTCTCCAAGAACATAGATCTTGTTGAATCATTTACCAGAACGATTATTAGCCTGTCCTAAACTGTATGTATAATGTAGACAATTACTTTATCATCTTTTCCTTTAATTAGAATATTTTTTTCTAACTTTTGTTCTTGACCTACTGTACAATGAGAGCACTGACATAATTCCCTAGACAGCCAAATGCTTAAAAGAAAAATTCTTGCTTGAATTTTAAGTCTTTTCTTCAATATGTCCAATGTTAGTTTTTAAATTCTGTTCTTCCAGAGTACTGTAAATCTACAATTTTGTGCATGTAAATCTTGATACTAGCAAACAATTTAGCTCTGCTCTTTACACCCCTTACAAATGTACACTGCACTGGAAACATGACAATAGCCGGTAGGACTGACAAGGTTCCACACAGACTAGCAGAAAGTTCTTCTGAATAGAAGACCAGAAAAGAATATACTAAACACAATTATAAAAAATTTGTGTGTCAGCTTTTCTTCTCCATGGTTTGTTCTGCTTTACATAATTAGTTAAAGCCAGATACATTTAGATGCTACACTGAGTAATCCATAATGCAATGTTGGTTTGTTATTTGTTGTTTTATAAAGAAAAAAGAAATCTTACAAAAATTGCAGAATGAAAAGTTTCTTAAAACCTTACACATCTAACAAGGAAATCAAATCAAATTCAGAGCACTAAAAACAACAAATCGGACATTCATTTTATACAAGGGATTATAAAATATGGTTGCCTATGATAGCAGGGGGCTGAGTTCAGTAACTTAGGAGAACCACGCCAGCCTTGTTCCTATTTTTCCCACCAAGAGAAGGAAAATGGGGTCTCCTTGTGTATGCATGGATGCTGTCTGCATCTCTTTCGCATTTTAACAAATCCCACACTGATCATGACCTGTACAGTGTGAAAGTGGAGAAAAAAAATTTTTTTTTACTGTGAAAAGTATTTAATATAGAGTAGTTAAATATACATATTCTATTAATGTTTTCTCCTTGAGAATTCTAACAGGTACTGTAAATTCTGAAGTATTCTAGCTCTTCTTGGAACAGCAGTGTTATTAAGCATCTAAACAGTCCTCCTTAATCTAATTCCATAAGTTAGCAATTCAATTTTACATTTGCTGTTTAGTTGTTCACATTAACCTTTAAACCCCTTCAGTGAAGGAACCTGTTTTTTAACTAAGAGTAGCTCAGTACTATGAGAGCACCAATATTCTATTTCAGTATTGAAGACTCAAAAAGATTACAACTACCCTCTGATTAAGGCTCAACTTTTTAACTTCAGGAATAATTTAGCCTTTATATAAATTTAAGTCTGATGTGTATTCACTTCTCATTTATAAGATTTTACTTCACCAGCAGGTTTCAGGATGGATTAGTTTAATTAGCAGAAAAATGAAAATGTCTTGGGACTCTCCAGATTAAGATACTCTACGATGTATGACTTCCAGTATTTACTATCAGAGTATCAAACTCCATCATTCAAGGTACAGTTTTGTCTTGCCTACATTTCTCATGTAATAATATACCAAAACTACCAGCACTGTCAATTTTTAAGAGCTATGAAGTTCTCATTATACTCACAATTACTTAGAGGTAGTGGCATAAATACACAGTCATACTATTAATCATATCCAAATAACTAGTAGTAAAACAACTGAACTGCATGGGTGTAAGGACATTTTGCACATAAAATTAAACATGTATTTATCTCATATATATTTATATACCACACATATTATCAACAATGCCCCACCATAACTATCATACCAAAGGATACGTGAGATCATTTACACAAGTTAGAAACTGAGAAGACTTGAACTGAAAACTAGAGAGAACACTGAACACATGCATTTTTATAAAAACATTTTTCAAATCAGAACCAAATAATGACTTTCTGTATCAGCTAAATGTTACAATTAAATATTTGAAGAAAAAAAAGTAACATATGCAAAGCAATCCACACTGCACCTCAAATGAAAAAATAATACAGTACCTTCTCATCTACACATAACTTTTGTTCACGTGATACTGTTCAAAAACAACTTTAAAAAGAATTTGTTGGGAATAACAGCTACTCATTAAAGCATTTAATATTGGTTAAGACAGAAAACAAATAAACAAAAAAGTATAATCCGCATCCCCAGAACAAGTGAACAGCCACAAATCCAACAACTTTAAATATCAGTTGCACAAGCAAGGGGCTAAAACAACACAGAGGGGACACCCCCTACCCCCATATTTCTGTATTCTAACCAGAGATAAAATTCTTAGCAACATGGAAGATTAGGAGATGTGTTCCTGCAGAAAGAAGCTGCCAATTTTTCAATTCACTGCAAAGCAAGCCTTTGCCATAATTATTATGTTGCATAAAAGTTCTGGGAAGTTTTTCTGGACAGAATCATTACTACTGCTGAAGTTGCTTCAGTAGTCTGATCACTCACAGAACTGTTTTCTAAACTACTCTCAGTGTGTTGCCCATTGGCTTCTACGGTGAATTAAGAAACAATTCTCATTATTTCAAATAAAAATACTGCAAGAAGTATGAGAAATAAGGCAGTGATGAAGATTAAGGTAATTTTAAATGTAATTCCTTTAGTCAAATACACATTTCAAAACTTTTTCAGAAACATGAAATTCTTAAAAGGAAATCATACCTGATACTCTTCTGTTGTATCGGTTAACAACTGGAGCTGCAAAATAAACAAATCAAAATTACAAATGCTATTTATTATTAAAAATTCAAAGTCATCATCTTGAATAATCACGATTTATTTTTACTACACAAATCCCATAAAACTCTCTCTAAAAAAAAAGCTTCAATATAAAGCTTTCATCCACTTACTTGCCAGGCAGTAAGTGTTTATTCAAAGTTAAAACTTGATATTCCAGAAGGCCGTTACATGCTAAGATGGAGGGTAAGCAGTTTTGGGGTTTTTTTACCCAATCCTGAAAAAATATACCTCTTCAGAGGTTTCCCAATCTTAACCTATCATCAATTCCCAGCCCACTTTACTTAGCATTACTACAAAATATTCAGGCACTTTAAGTTAGCTATACCTACTTAACACGGATCAAAAGCTGATGGAAATTATTAGCTAAACCATTCTATACTCCTATACAACACAACCCACGTAACTGTTCAGGCAGTTGCTCCCATACGAATGCCAGTCATCTATCCTTGACCAAGGCTATCTTCCATAAGGGCACACATTTAAATTGAAAAATTCTGAGATGGAGGATCCATTGTTTCATTGCTTCTTTGTTCACACTGTTAGGTATACAAGGTATTTAAACTTTATCTCTAATTTGCGATGAACTTCCTGATTTTCACTATTCACATACATTTCAACATTAAGCCAACCTTCAGTAAACAGTATTCTTTCCTCCTTTCACTGTAACCAAGTTACTGTCTTTGTGAGTTGCTTCAGTCAACACAAAAAACAATCAACCTGTAAAACTTCATCCAGAACAAAACCAAAACACCATGCTCCCCTTCACCACTAACAACCAAAGTAATTCTCTTCTGAATGCTCCATGCTTTTCCATTCCTCTTTCCTTCAACTGATAATTGCATTTTTCCTGATACAACCAGTGACCTTTCTATGCCATTCTTTAAACATTTAAGAATTAGATGAGCCTTTATACCACATCAAAGCATGTGCATCACAGAGACAGATTTATTAAACACATGCTACCAAAATCTTAATGATCCCATCATTTCTTAGAAGTTAGAAACTTTGAGTATCTCAGCACCACCAAAACATGAAGAACAATGCTTTCTTAAGCAAATACATCAGAACTCAGCTTCTTTCGAGCACTTGCAACCACCCTGTATCTATATTAAAACACATAATTGTGAATAATACCAGAAAAAAAAGATCAAAATTATTATTGTGTATTCTTTTGTAATGATAAAGGAAATCAGAAGAAAGAAGAGGTTGCGGGGAAAAATAATCAGGTTAACTCCATAGAGTTTTCAGCCGTATCTTTCAACAAGGAGACAATGCTCAGCTTAACAAGAAGCTAAGGATTAAAAGCAAGATTATTTTGAATTTTACGATTTAGATTGAGATCTAAACTTCTATAACACGGCATAATCCTTACAAAAATAACATTGACACAGTGTTTCATACATCAAGCTTGAAGAGGTTCAAAACACTGAATGACAAACCTGAGAATTCAAGAAATTTTATTTTCAAACTTTCAAGCAATTTTTGACAGCAGCAACCCTTCCTGCAAATAAGGGCAGCATATATTGCACCTGTGAAAGGACACCATGGATGCAAGAAGTTTGTATCATCTTAAGGGGAGACAGGCGTTTGGAACAGAGATCCATTCTGGTTTATTAAACAAACAATAAACTCATGCAACTCCCTGAACTGAAAATGTTCATGCATTTTGCCCTGTTCTTAACTTTTCCACGTGGGTCTGCCTGTAGCTACCTGTTGTGACAGAACACTGCTCTAGACACTCATCTGCCCTGCTAACAGCACATTCATTCTTATCTTTAGTTTATTGAGCTAGTTTAACTAACTACTCAAAGTTAGCAAGCAAATTTGGACCTTCAGAAATAGGAAAACTCACTTCTTATGTAGCGACACAGACAACTGCCTGCCAGTTCTAAGATACTGAAGAACAAGAGGACCAAAATCAATTAGTTCAGTTCCCGCTACAAAGTGATTTATTACAAGAGAAATACTAAATTCAAAACATAATTTGATAAGTTTGCAGTAAAAGCACCTCATCTAGGTCATAACAGTTTCAGTTAAATGATTAACTAGTCTCATATACGGATTCAGATACTTTTAATCAACACCATTAGTAAGTAAATACATGATTTTATTTCAGGCACTGTCTTGCACACGCAGTCTTTCTTCTCCACTTTTGACTACTATACTCATTCCTTACTCATGTTTAAGAATAATATTTTAACATCTTTGAACAGAACTAACATACTACAGAAAACCCTGACATACTTTGGATAACATAGAAAAAAATCCACTTTTCAAAGACTATGGCTTCTTTTAGAATCTTGATTATTTTATCCCATAGCAGGGTTCAGTGTCATCAAAACACCATCAAGTTTTCCACAGTGTTAAAAACGAGAAAAAAACATAACCTTTTAAGGACAGTTAAGAGAGCACTATTATTCTGCCTCCACAAAGCTTTTAAGATTAAAATGATAGTTTGCTTTTCTTACACCAGTGACAGTTTTAACATGTATAAAATTTCAGGTTCACTTTTATATGTTGTCAGAAGATGACTATTTTTATGCTAAAGAGATAAAATCTGACATTTCCTACTACAGAAGATTAGCATTTTCTTTTGCTCTGGCTTACCAATGAAAAGCTCTCTTTGTTTATGACTATTTTCAGTATTGCATAGACAGTATAGCCACTCCTATGGCATCCTTCTGTTTTGTCATTAGAAGTACATGGAGAAAAGCCTGGCATCAAGGACTGCTGAGAGAACAACTCATGAAGGTCCCACATACACCTAGATTAGTCTGTGGACAGATTCCAGAAGATTAGATGGGGCGGAAGGGAATAACAGATTTACAGTTAACCCAGCCTATTTCCTAGACTGAACTCTAAAGGGCGTCTCATTTGAAGCAATAGTGATATATACACTAATAGCAACCTCTTACACCAGCACAGCCGTGAGAGCACACCTCTGCTTACACCGAAACAAGAACACAGCGAATCCAGCACACCAACCTGGTACCACTCAGGAGAGCTGGTATCTTCACCAATAAAAAGAAATTGCTGCTTTGAAACAGGAAACAATTCATTTTTTTGTACCCACACTTAGAATTTCCCTCCTGCACACCAATGGGCCATGCCTCAGGTCAGTTATACATTAATTGCAGAAATCATAATGAGATTAAAAGATTTTGTTGCGAGATGACTGCACTGCAAACTCTCCATTATGTCAAAACCTCAGGTGCAGCAATATTCAAGTTCAAAATGTCTCATACCTTTGGCACAGTCCCTGCTTTTACTTGGCTTATGGGAGCCAAGACCCAGTAATTGGGTAAACACAACAGAAACTGAGGTAAATTAAACCATTGTACCAGAAGAGACCAAAACAGCCCAATTTCCTCCCTGGCAGCCAAAGGCAAGTGACACCGGCAGTGGAAAGGCAGATCAAGTTGTGCATTCCACAGTTTTGCCAGAACTGACTCAGGACAGCGATCCTACTCCACTGTTTAAGAAAATCAGAAATCTCTGCTGAACATGTGCATATTTTCCACACTGTCCTGAAGCACAGACTGAATTAAACACTAGATAGGAACACTTAACAGGGTCTGTTTCAGATTGAAAAAACTACACGTTTCTGGCTGTAGGATTCTTTTTTTATTTGCAGTTGCAATTTCTAGAACCAGTCAGTTCTCTAGTTTAAATCCAATACTTATTAAATAAGGAGTTATCAACTTTATGTCAGTATCACTTAACCTCACTCATCATTCTCCTTTTCTTGCACTGGGGGAAAAAAGAAAGAAAAAAAACCACAATAGTGGGCATTCATTGAATGCCACATACGTATCATAAACACTCAAAGAAGAAACAATGCTATAAAGGTGCTCAGCTTCCCACTTTCAAAAGCATTTTATACTACTTTCAATCAGCTAACTCTGCAAAATTAGTCACATACATATTTGCTAAAAAAGACAGGACAACCTTTCTTCCTCAGAGTAAAGATATGTCATTCCATTTATTTAATAAAAATTATTTGAATCATTTGTATAAATAAATCAATACCATACATTCTGTTAGTTAAATTGACAAAAGTACCTTATATCAAACAGCACTACTGCCATGCAGCTATCCTAACGCTTGTTAGTGGCTCCATTCCCTTTGGTTTTCTCACTTGAAAAATTAGGGATATAAATTTCAGAAACAGAGACTGATATGTGGTAATGCTGGGAACCACTGACCTCAAATATACATTTTTTT